GGTGTTTTTTTGACCCCCCCCCCCCCCCCGGATATCCCGCAGAAAATAAAAAGTGGAGCAGTGTGCACACAGGCAGCATGCACTGCTCAAAAGTGCAGCTGGGCCACCTGGAGCAGCACTGCGGCTGCTGGCTGGGCTCCGTGTGGCAGAATCGCTGCTGCTGCAGCCCCGGAGGCCCCCAGGACCCCAGGTAAGGCTGCTGGGGGCCAGCCCAGTGCTGGCCAGCCTCCCCTACCCCACCCGGGGTAACTTGCTGTGCACCAATACACATGGCACAGGTGTTCCCCAGGAACAAGTAGCCGTGGTGCAAGGTGCACCCCTGGGGAACCAAATATCCATGCTTATCTGGATGCACCCATAATGTCCTACCTGATACCCTGATGAAACTTCAGATTACACTTGCTTTAAGAGAGTCATGCTACACAAGTTCCAGCCCACTCCACCACTTATCAGCAATGTTCTGAAGCAGGAAGGAGTAAATTGTATAGGAACTCTGAAAAAAACAAGTGATTATTTGAACAAATGGATCAAGAGCAAAGAGGTAGGAGACATGAAAGCAGTGTTAGATCTAATTGCCCTTGAACAACTTTACAATTTATTTAGTAAGAAAGTAAAGAAAGACATGTGGAATAATGGCTTCCCTGCAGCCTCCCAAAGGATGCAGGGGAGGCTGCAAGGCACGGTGGTCTATATCTTGAAGCAAAGCAGGCTTAGAACCTAACTCCATGGACCAAGGGGTGCAGGATAAGTGAGATGTCCGTCATGGGGCTGGGAGGAAAAATGGAAGGAGCAAACCCATTGGTAAGCAGGCTCCCATTACCTCCAAACTCACTAGTAAACCCGGGGGGGGGGCAGGATAAGCTTTCAGAAATGTTTCAAGTGTAGGTCCACTGAACACTTAAAACCTCAGTGCCCTATGCTGTTGAAGACAGAGGATAGACCCTGACCCCAGGCTGTTGGAGCAGTAGCTACTGGAGGGGGTCTGTGTGGTATGTATGGTGTGAACTCCCACCATGGGACCTGGAGCAGGCCAAAGTTAATGGCAAAGTGTGCCTGGTGGGGAGGGATACAGGAGCTCAGATCTCAGTGGTCTGTGAGGGGTTGATAAGAGAAGATCTAATTCCCAGGAAGGAGCTAGTTATTTGCAGAGAGTGGGGAATAGAAATTCTGCTCCATGCAGCCTGTATTTTGCTGAAATGGGAGGGCACAGAGATCTCCTTAGAAGTAGGAGTAGTCAAAGAACTTCATGCAGATATTCTTGTGGGAAATTATATAAATAAAATGCCAAAAAAGAATTAATGCAGTAACACATTCCACCCCAAAGGCCTTTATGAGGTGTGGGGGAGGAGAAAGAGACTGTAGGACTAACTAGCAATCAACAGAGAGTTTGTGGACACAGTGTCCCAGAAGGAAAGTGAAAGATATGTGAATGTATTGAATCTTCATATGTGAATCTAAAGTTACTTTCTGTTGAATCTGCTAATGCCAATGCATGTATACGTCTACTTTATGTTTAGAATATATTCTGTGTCTGTGCCTGCCAGTCTGACAGTACTCTTTCCTACACTTGTGGTTGGAGTAATTTATTTGTGAATGCCTTGGACAAACATAATAACTGGCAACAAGGATGAAATCAAGTGTTGTCGAGAACACAGTGTTATTTGGATGACACGGTAACTGGTGAAAATGACTAAGAACATCTGAGAAATATGAAGAAAGTATTAAGATGTTTCGATTAATATGGTAGTAGATTTGTACCAAACCTAGCAACTGTGTAGCGTACTTTAAATTGTTTGCTGCAAATGAACTGAGAATGGCTTTGGTCACATGCATGTCAGAAATCTCTCCTTGAAGACTGGTGACATCTATTACTATGTTTGTTCACTTTAACCCATTGTTACCTATCAAGCTAGCATGTGATGGATCCTCACATGGCATTGGGGTCGTTATATCACATACTATGGCTGATGGTACTAACTGGCCCCTAGTGTTTGCACTGCAATCACTTACAGCAGCAAAACAGAATTATGCCCAGATAGAGAAAGAAGCTTTAAGTCTGGTGAGGAGAGTGAAGAAATTTAACCAATACTTATATGGGAGAAAATCTGCATTGGTCACAGATCCCACACTGGCACCTATGTATGAAGCCTCCTTGAAAGGTTGGAACTATACAGACAATCTTAATTTAGCACCCTTTTATGCATGCAAACTATACATCAAGGATGTGTCATGTGATGGATTCATGTTCTTATACATAGCAAACTGCACACACGAATTTTAGAAGAGCTGCACCTAGAACTTGAAAAGATGAGGATTCCAGAAGCTTTGTATGATGGCCAGGTACTGATCAACAAATAGAACACCTTGTGAAGGACTGTATGGGATGGCAATGGGTACAGAAGATGTCCAAACCAGCCCATTACAACTGTGGGAATGGCTGTTCAATTCCTGGCAACAGATATACGTTGATTTGGCAGGACCATTTCTAGGGATGATGTAGCTAATAGTGGTTGATGCCTGTTCCATATGGCCAGAAGTTGTTTGTGTGAAAATCATTACAGCAGCACAGACCATAGAAAAATTGAGAAGTATGTTTTGCAAGGACAGGATTGCCAGAACAAGACATAACTGATAGTGGCCCACAGTTCAGTCCATCCAGCATGACCAGAGACCATGTAGTGCATTCCAGTAAGCTAGCAAAAAGTGGGCCATTTTCTACTCTATTGACCTTGCCTCTTCTTTTAGGGCAAGCAAGGCATTTTTGAAAGACCGTACAAATTGTTCAGCCAGTCCATTGTGGCTGGGTGGTATGGTGCAGAAGTGATATGCTGGCATATCACTGGATGCCAGTATATCACGTATGCATCATACCACCCTGCCAGACTTGCAACAACATGGTAGACATTGCCAAATAAGTCATACGTTGACAAGAGGAATAGGTGCCCTTACATGTAGGCCAAAAGGTATTGGTGTATGATTACTGAGAATTTAAGAAATGGCAGCCTGTGGTTGTGAATGCACAAACAGATTATTTATGCCTATCCAGTGCAAGTGGCACTTAATATTGTTCAGCACTGATACATCAACCATTTACAAGCTATAGGCACGATTGCTGAGCAGAGCACAGAAGCAACAATTGGAGCCCCACAAGTTGGGCCATCAGTTTTACAACCTACATCAATGGCAAATAATACCATACCAGGCAGTAGCCATGCTGACTGGCCAGGACCTGATAATGTTGAGCTACCTACTTCCAGTGAAGAGATGTCTGAAGGAGGGCCACCTCCTCAGGATTGTGTTCCAGGAAGTGGTAGCCACTATGCGGGAAGAAAATGTAGACATGAACCTGACATAGTACTCATTTGGACACAGCCTTAGAAAGCAGTCAAGGTGATCAACATTACCCAGAAAGGCAATGCAAGCCACCTGAGAGGATTGTAGTCTGTCTGTTATATCACTATCATTTCAAAAGTGTGGGATTGGATATGAGATAGGTGAACGTGTTGAGTCTGCATGTGTGAATCCAAAGTTACTCTGTTGAATTTGTTAATGTCAATGCATGTATACTTTTACTTTGTTTGCAATGTTTTCTGTGC